TTTACAAATTACTATCCAGTTAGTTTACTTGTTATAAACAACAGAAATCAAGGAACTATAACTAGTAGTTTGAAATGAAATGAAAACATGAAATTTGATATGGATTTATTAATATGCCACTCTATTAAGAAAAAAATAAAGCACCCTCAGGTATTTTAAACATCTCATGCTAGGAAAAGAAATTGAGAAAAATAACAGTATTTCTATTTATACAATTTTATTTTACATTTAAAAAAAAAAAAGAAGAAAAGCCTGTGACATCTTATAAAGATTACCTTTTATTAATAGTATGGACAATACATACCTCCAAACAAATGAATAGGTAATTACAAAGTAAGTGTAACTATTCTTCTGAACAGACAGAACATCTGCCAATAAAAGTAGAATCCTGACCTAAGAGCCAGAGACTCCAGACTGACTGTGGCTTTAGGTCAATTTAAGAAAGTTATTTTAAAACTTAACTCTTCAATTTCCTCATGTATTAAAAAAAAAATTAATACAGTAGCTGAGTTCAGGCATCTATGACTCTATTAGCAGAAGTTAATCACGCTCCAAAAACTGAGTCCTAACTGGCCAAGTACTAAAGTAAATCTATTTTATTTTACACACACCACTCATGCATACTTACTATAAATAGAGTACTGAATGATGGACTGGAAGCAAGGCATGAACACGTGTTCTTGGACTGTACTCCCCACCACCACCAAAAAAAAGGTAAAAACAGTAAATCTTTATAATTGTAGTTCTAAAGAACTGCCCTAAAACTGGAGGGCAGAGAGAATTAAGTTCCAAAACATGACAGGATATACATTAAAAAATAAAATGGTGTTGTGTATAATAAATGACCAACCTATCAGCTTCCAAATGATAGGACATGTTCTTAATTTTTTGTTTTGTTTTGACCTGTATAACCCATAGTATTTAGAGGGCCTCAAAAATCAGCTGTTTGTAAATATACTGATAACTATTTCAGGCATACTCTACTATATGATTTGAATGTTTGCATCCACCTAAAACTCCTCTGAGAGTCTATAAATTACAAGGTGGGGGTTTTAGGAGGTTCTACCTTGATAAATGAGAACAGTGTTCTTATTTTAAGACTCCATGTCTTAATCCTAACATTGGGAAGGCAGAGGAAGGTGGATCTTTGAGTTTGAAGATATCTTAGTCAATACAGCTAGTTTCAGAGGCTACTGAGAGACCCTGTCACAAGAAAGAAGGGAAGGGGGGAGGGGAGAAGGATAAGAGACAAAGGAGGGGAAAAAGGGAGGGCAGAGAACAGGAGGTTGGAGAGATGGCTTAGAAGTAAAGAGCACTTGCTGCTCTTCCAAAGGACCTGTGTTCAATTCCCAGAGTCCTCATGGCAACTAACAACGGTCTGTAATCCTAGTCAGAGCTGACTCAATACCATCTTCTTACCTCCACAGGCAGCATACACATGTGGTACAATCATACAAGGCAAAACTCTCACACAATAAAATCTCAAAAAGAAAGAAAAAATGAAATGAAGAAAGGAAGAAAGGCTGGCTGGCAGGCAGGCACTCAGGCAGAAAGACTGACAGACTAAAAAACAGAGAGACAGACAGAAAGAGACAAATGTCAACCAAAACATGGTGGTATGGGCCTGCAATCTCAGTTACTATGGACTTACCAGTTCAAGGTCTGCCTAGGCTAGAGTGAGTATGGCCAACCTAGTGAGACCTGTGTCAAAAGTACAAAGACAACTAGGAAGTGGTAGAGCAGTCCTAGCATGTGCGAGGCCCTAGGTTCAATCCCTATTCCAGCTAAACAAACCCTCCTAACATTACACAAGTTGATAATGAAAACTAGCTTTCATCTTATGGCTTCTCAGTGTTCATAACTAGGACAGATATTTGGGGGGGGGGGGGGGGGGTCCCTGTAGACTACCCAGTCTTTGAAAATTTTTAAATAACAAGCTGAACAGACTTAAGGCATCTAGAAAGATACTCTCTGATTAAATAATAGAAATCATTGCACTTAAAGACTGAGTTCACAATGAAAAAGAAAAATAGTAGAACAAATAATGGGCTATAGACCACTATATACAAGGTGCTTAAGACCATTTGAAAAACGGGGTATGAAGTTTTCTAAGGTAAAGCTGAAAGACTATTAGGCACTTCACCATCTTTAAGTCTCACAAATCTGGTATATCTTTACCATCCTGTTTATAGATAAAACTATGTCTCATCAAAAACGAAATTAAGCTCTAATTACAAACCTATTTCTAGGCTGGGTAGTGGTGGTCATGTCTTTAATCTTAGCAGAGGGGAGGTAGAGGCAGATGGATCTCTTGAGTTTGAGGCCGGCCTAGTCAACAGAGCTAGTTCTAGGACAGCCAAAGCAAAACAAAGAAATCCCATCTCAAAAAAAAAAAAAAAAAAGCAAACTACCAAAGAAAAAGCTATTACCTTTACACATTCTATTATACCTCTGATAGATAAAGTTTTCTTTTTTTTTTTTTTTTTTTTTTTTTTGAGACAAGGTCTCATCACTTAGCCTAGGCTGGCCTTAATCTTGCCACAATCCTGCCTCAGAGGCCTCTCAATTGTTTCCCTTACAAATGTGAAACATAATGGCTGGCTTAACTTTTGTCTTTATATTTATCAGTGAGATAGAAAACTGTCAAAACCATCTAAAACTCTATTATCTCTATTATGAAAAGAATATCAAAGACTTTTTAACAACTATTTTTGTATGACCTCCCTGGCACATGCTTTTTGTACTTGAAAGCACTCAGGAGACCACTTCTGAAAATTCATCTCGTTTCAAAAATCAGAACACTGATGTTTTTAATAACTGCACATGTACTTAATATAAAAATAAATCCATTAACAGTAATGTTATCATTAATAACAAATATAAACTGAAATAAAATAAATGATAATATGCCAGTAACCATTTAAGATTTCTTTTTTAAAAAGAAAAGGCACTTGTACACATCATTTTAAGCTCTTGAACAGAAAAAAAAAATTAGCTATGGCCAATTAAAAGTAAAATGGTCATAAAAATAATACAATTGACTAAAATGTTTCATTCATGTCAGAGACACAGATACCTAATGAATGCTGTTAAAACGACTAATCAAGTAGAAAGAATTTTTGTCTTAGGTAGACATCACATTTTCTACTTAAAGTTATAAAGGGAGAAGGCAAGTAATCAGTCCTAATGGTGTAAACTTTTTACACCATTGACATAATCTGCTGCTCTGCCAAAACTACGGATTATACCCACACTTCTTCACAACTGAAAGTAATTGTGGGTCATACATCCCATTCACAGAACCCTGGAGAAAAAGCCAAGAAGAGAGTTCCAGCTCATCTAGAGCTACTCCATAAAACCCTTTCTCAAAACAACAACAAAAGTGGTTGGTGGAGTACATTTTAGGGATCAAAAAGCCATCTACAAAACCTGCATCCAAAAGCAATTTTCTAACCCCATAAACTTAAACTCTTTATAGGAGCAACGTCCAAAGCACGCCAATACAAGGTAAATATCGACACAAATCTCTCTTTCAGAGTTTTCATTCTGATTTTTAAAACAAAGATATAAGTCATCTCTTCTTATTATGTACTATAACTTAATTAAAAATATAGATCACAAATTATTTGTTAAAGCTCATTTTTGGTACAGATTTTGATGCATGGGCTTTTTGCTAAGTTATGCTAAGTGCTTAAGGCTTTACAGTCATTATCAGCAATACAGATTCGGTATTCATTTCCTTAAAAAATGCAGTAAGCAGATTCGATTTAAGTGGAGAATCCAATACCAAAGCAATTTCTATCATACCTACCAAGACAATTTTTTTTTGTCTCTCCTAAATTTAAATGATTTCCCAAAAGATATCTTAAGTAAGGTTAGTCACTAATCTGAGGTGTGACAGAAACACTTTTTAGTCACTTGTCCAATCTACTCAACAAGATTTACTGGATCTTTAATACGTAGCTTTTTAACAGCTGTATTTCTTAAATGTCTGGTCATCTTTATTTCAAATGCATTTCCCTCTCCAAAACGCTGTCATAATCTGCTGCTTCTGCCAAAACTACGGGTTATACCCACACTTCTTCACGACTGAAAGTAATCGTGGGCCATACATCCCACTTACTATTTAGTTTACATTTGCAATACTAGCTACTTAATACAATCCCAAAGAAATCATGCACTGTTCTATTTTAGCATACTCATAAGAAGTCAGAAAAAATTGACACAATACTGTATTTCGAGGATTCAAAGACTGAACAGTCTTATTAAAATCACATTCTCTAGTTTTAAGGCTAAAGCATTTAGCATATTCGATTCTGACTCTTCCAACAAAAAGCCTCCGCATCAATATGGGGAAAACGTTCTTTCCATTTTCTCAACTGAAAGGGGGGAGGGGAAGAGAGAAGGCCAACTGCTTACAGGTTTGCATTTAAATTTAACAGAGCAGTTTGAGGAATCCAGTAACTCACGTTCAACTACTGAATCCTACCAGAAGCAGCAAACGAATAAAACGAGAGTACAATCCTTGGGCTTTACGTGCCGCTTCATCGTCTTTCCTTTCCAATCCATCCCCAACACCCCAACCCACTAAGCACACATCTAAATATGTCTTCCCCACCAGGGCGCCCCTTTGGAGGAAAAGGCCTGCCCTTCGCAAGCCTGAAGCCACAGCTCGCTCTCCAATGCCTTGCTTAAATGAGGCCCCAATCTCGACGCGCTGCACGTCCGCCCCACCCCGGGCCCACTCGGGTACCCGAGGGCGACAAATCCCTCCCTCCTACGCTCAGCCAGCACTGACAGTTAAGGCTGCAGCAGCCGCAGCCACCAGGGCCTACTCCTGGCACCGGCCCCTCCAGACCACGCGCCCAAGCACTCGCTCACAGAGGCGGGTGAGGGCCCGGGCGCCTATCCTGTCAGCTCGGCCCGGAGGGTGACGAAGGGACCGGCGGTACAAACTCGAGGGAGCGCGCCGGGCAGGCCGCGGCCGCAGCAGCACTGACCTGTCCTCGCCCCCGTGCCTGGGCTGCGGCCCTCGCAGCTGCGGCCGCTTCACTGGTCCTTGTCGCCCTCGTACGCCGCCGCCGCCCGCCACCGCCTCGTTCCCTGCCGCTGGCGCCACCGCCGGGGCTCATGCGGGACCCGCGCTTCTCCTCAGGAAACCGAGGCCCGGAGGCCGGACGCCTAGGCAACCTTGGAGTCGGCGCTAGTTGGCTGCTGCCGCGGTCTATCCACGGGGGGCAAGGGCGGCAAGCAACTCCGAGAAGCAGAAAGAGGCGCTACTGTCCGCGACAGGTCGACAGTGGAGAGGCGCGATGAGGGGATGGATGGCTGCGTGGCCCGGTGCTCGAGCGAGCGCAGAAAGGACGGCGAAGTGCTGCCGAAGATGAAGGGCCCTGTCGTCTCCTGTAGTCACCCAGAAAGGAGCGCCACCATCTTGGGAGAAACACGGATCTCGCAGAGCCGGACGAGATGACTGGGTGGGCGGGCCGAGTATCCCGACAGGCAGCGCGCGCCACCCTGCCGGGCGAGGGCTCCAAGCCGGGAGGCGGGATGTGAGGGAGCCCGCGCGTGCGTGGGATGGCGACGGGCTCTGCCCCGCCCCGATCGCAGCTATCCTGGACCCTTCTCTGGTTCGCCTTCGCCAGGGGCGCGGGGCACGGTGGGAAGAGGAGATGGACTTGGGCTGGGTGTAAGACGGCCAGGGACCGTCGCCATCTTGAGACAGGGCTGGGAGAGCTCTTTGCTTCTTTTATCCAACTTATAGACCTGTGTGCTTCGGTGGACTTGGGAGAGTGGCCCGTGTTAGACAGCCGAGGAAAGCTTCGGGTCGGTTAGGGAAACGAATCGGATCTGAAAATCGGCGGAGGCGGTGTAGCCAGACCGCGGCATGAGGGGAAGCCGAAGGTTTCAGTTGCTAGGGCTGACACTTACTTCTATTCATCCGAGCTGTCCTTTAAACGTTTCAGGGTTTACGAGAGTGGGCAAGCTTTCAGCAGACAAGGTCATCATCAGCTCAGGCTTCTGCCAGCACAGGACATGTTACTGGTTTACCAGACTAGAAGGTAAAAGCCCAGTCCTTACAGTGTTGTCTTCCAGAAGGTTGTCAACTGAGAGAAGTAACCGCCTGCTTGATTCCACGTGGATAGAGGTTAATTTTAATTTACACAACAGTTAAATCCTGCAGCCATGTGTCTTGATGGTATCCGATGACGGGTTTGTTAACAGTTTTGACAATAAATTTATTATAAAGACTAGCTGACAAGTTATTTTCTGGCTTGCAACTTTGTGGATAACCTTATTCATCTAAGTACTCAAAATGTTAACGTTTACACATAGCAATGTATTTTTCTGTTTCTTACAAGCTCACAATATATAAATATATGTGTATACCCGATCTCCCCACTGTAAACAGATACTTTGGTTGTTGTTTTTCAAGACAGGGTTTCTCTGTGTAGTTCTGGCTGTTGTGCAACTCGCTCTTTAGACCAGTCTGGCCTCGAACTCAGAGATTTACCTTCTGCCTCCCGAGTGCCGGGATTAAAGGCATGTGCCGCCATTGCTTTTTGTTTTTTGGGGTTTTTTTGTTTTGTTTTGTTTTTTGTTTTAACTAAAACATAAGTAACACGGGTGTGGCGGGCAGAATGTAAACTATTCCGGGATAAATGATAATAAGTGATAGTGTTGTCACGTCAGATTTTAAGATGCTTTAAAAGTATCTGCTGATTTTTAAAATCTCTTCCTCCATTAAAAAACCTCACTTGGAAACAACCATTGTATTTTATGAAAAGCGCCAGTAACTAATGTTTTAAGGATTTATCTTTGCAAATTAATAAAATGCACAGCAAAAAAATGAAGATCATTAGAGTACTAGGAAAAGTAAAGTACATTACTGTTGCAGTATGTGAAGATACTTTCAGCTATTTTCTCCTAAATAGAAGTTATCTGAAAAAGAAATACAATTTTCTAGTAGTGTGAATTATCAAAATGTAGCCAAAAAGCCCCGAGTTTTAAGAAACTTAAAAGTTTTAAGGAAGTAGATGTCAAATGGCAATCCAGTTCTGTAAGGAAATCATGGAGAACCCCAACTTCTAGGAATCTGGAAAATTATTTTCTTAGTTAATGTTAAACATGTATTATATGTGCCACTGATGTTCAGGAACTCATGTATTCTGGTTTATCATTCTTAAAATTTAGAAACATTAATACTAGACATAAAGGTGCTTGCATACAGCCCCAGCATGTAGGAGTCTGAGGGAAGAAAATCTCAAGTTCCGTGGTAGGCCTCACTGTAAAGAAAGACATATCTCAAAGTGGGCTGGAGAAAGCAATGCTTATTTTAAAAATTACTGAAAATGATTCCTGGCAACATATTCACATACTTTTTGCAAAAAGCATGTTTTCCGTTATCAGGCTTGTTTTATTTTCAGACGTTTTTTTCTTGGAAACACAAAGTAGTATCTAGATGGGTAATAAATTCTTTAGACTAATTTAGGCTAAGTTACACTCAATAGTTTCTACTATTTTCTCATTTCAAATGTAAATGAACCATGTAAAGGTATAAGCATATTAATTCATGCTTGGAACAAGCTTAGTGTCTCCTTTTTACCCAGAACTACCCAGGCCTTATTGAAACAATAAAAGATAATCCTTGTACCTAGCTTCAATAAATCAGTTCAAGAGGAAATAGGGCTGTATAAGTGTCAACAGTTTTTTTAGAGCAACTCAACCCTTTGATGATTAGGGGGGTGTTGTCTAATATTTACCTACTACTTCTTCTAAGTTAGAATAAGATAAATAAAAAAGGGCATAAATTCACAACACCCAGAAAAATGCTAGCATTGAACATCCTGATCACACAGGGCTTTTTATGTTTGGTTTTTGGTGATTTGGATTTTTTTGTTTGGTTGTTTTGTTTTAATGATCACATATCCTTCTATTCATAACATCAGTGATTTACCATGGATTTCTAATGTGGACCTAAACTCTGAAAAAAACACCTATCTTATAGGTTCTGCCTTCCTTCCACACCTGTCTTCCCATACCCCACATAAAGCCATTACTTAAGTGTTTGCCAGTCATTCAGGGCCCTTTTTTTTATTCTTATTTCTTTATATTAGTTACAGTTTATTTACTTTGTATCCCAGCTGTAGCCCTCTCCCACATTCCCTCCCATTCCCATCCTCCCTCCCTCATCTCCTCCCTGCCCCTCTCTTAATCCACTGATAGGGGAGGTCCTCCCCACCTTCCATCTGACCCTAGCTTATCAGGTCTCTTCAGGACTGGCTCTGTCAGAGCCCTTTTGCATGGAATTCCTCCTTCCTTTTAGACAAGTCAAAGCACTCTCGGTGCAGCCTCCCTGATCTTCCCAAGATTTAATGCTTCTGCCTCTCCAGTATTTCTTTCCATCCTACCACTTGTCATGCATGCTGATGTGTGACTTTGACCTTCTCCCTCTACACTCCTTGAGAAAGAAGGCTTTTCCTCTTCCCTCACATTAATGCCTACTTAAAACTCATACCCCAACCAAGTACCAGGCATGGAGATGGCCTATGGCCCCTGCGCAGATGTGGTCCATGGCAGTTTAGTGTCTAGGTGGGTTACATGGTGATGGGAGAAGGGACTGCCTCTGGCACAGCCTGGTTGGCCTGCTCTTTGATCACCTCCCCCTGAGGGGAGGGCAGCCTTACCGGGCCACTGAGGATGGCAAGACTTCACTCCTATGTGATCTGGTGGACTGGGATCAGAGGGAAGGGGAGGAGGGCCTTCGGTATTGGTGGACTTGGGGAGGGGCATGCACGAGGGAGGGGAGGGAGGGGAGAAGGGAGGGGCTTATGGGGGGATGCAGGGTGGATAAAGTGTAATTAATAAAAATTAAAAAAAATAAAGTATTTTGGCCAAGCAAAAAATAAATAAATAAAAAATAAAACAGCCTAACTCTTCAAAAAGTGAATGATTGAACCAGCCTTTGTGATTGTAAAAATAGTAAAAAAGAAAAAAGTTAAAAACTAAGGCCAGTGTGTCTGATGGAATTCCCATTACTGAAATAATGGTTTAGTAATGATGTTTTGGAATATTAGTCTATTCAAATTATGTAAAATTATACAACATACGTCCTTATGCAATTCAGTGGGGACAGAAAACCACATTGTAATGGAAGTGTTGGTTTCTTTGTATTTTATGTAAATATGTTTTTGTTTTGATCCCAAGTGTGGGATTTTAAGTTGGGCTATCGTTTGTCCACACCTAATAATTGTAACATGTAGGGCATGATCGTTACCAGCTGGTAACTGCCTTCCACATGCCTCACAAAAGGTTGCGTGGTCTTGGACTCTGAGAGTATAAAAAAACAGGGTGGCGTTCTGGAGTGACATACTGTGTTGGCATATGGCATGGAGCAGTTTGGAGAGGCCACAGTTGGTGTGGTTTGGAGCAGACAGAGAGAAATGCTTCCCAGTGTAGCGGCATGGAGGAGACTGCTAGCTGTGTCTGCAGTTGATGTAGATTGGTATAGAGCCCTAAAAGAAACCTTTGACTCTAAATAGCAGGGAGAAGTAAAGGGGTCTGGGAACCCTCTACCCGCTAACCTTTTCTCTCTTATACTTAAGGTTGTGGCTTGGTGGAAGGGAGGTAGAGGCTTAAACACCCCAAATAAAGGAGAGTTTTTATAAAGACCACTACAGGTGGCTTTCCAATGCATCACGTAATTCGCTGTAAGAAATCTGAATTCCAAAAATTAGATAAGTAATAATAAATATATTAGGACCTTAGTGCGTGGTGTATAAAATTGAAGATTTGATTATGATAGTTAATGATAGTTTATGATAGTTGATGATAGTTTGTGAAGTCCTCTTAAATTTATGACTCATTCAACACTAATTCTACTAATTATACGGATAGCCAAGAATGCATAAGAACTTTGGAAAGTCACAGTAAGATGGCTCATTTAGGTAAAAACACTTGCTACCAAACCTATAGACCTGAGTTTGACTCTTTGGAATGCACATGGTAGAATGAGATAACCCAATTCTACAAATGACTGTGATGCACAGATATGCCATGGCATTAATGTACATGTATATACATACAAATTCAAATAAAAATGTTTTGGAGGGTGAGGGGTTTCAAGACAGGGTTTCTCTGTGTAGCCTTGGCTGTTTTGGAACTCTCTCCATAGACCAGGCTGGACTTGAACTCACAGAGATCCACCTGCCTCTACTTCCATAGTGCGTGGATCAAGGATGTGGGCCCCCACCTCTTGGCTATAAAAAATGTTTTTCAATATTACTTAAGCAAAAGACTGAAAATCCTAGCAAACCCTGTTTTGGTCGTGGCCATTTCAATCTCTTTTTGTTTGTTTTAATCCATCTGGGAAGTAGGTGGAAAAGAGAAGTACTTGACTAAAACCACCTGTTGCACCTGATGCTGCTCCTGCTGCAGCTGCTAATGCTTCTGCTGCTGCCTCCACTACTGCTCTGTTGATAATCTGAACTCTTCTGAATAAAACATTTCCAT